AATACCATGATCATCACTGCGCATCTAGAAAGACTTGATCGAGATTCATCTGAGATTGAACTGGAAGCAAAATTGGAATCGTGTTCTTTTTCTGGCGACATGCGCTACCATCATCGTAAATGGATGCTCCACAAATGGGTCAGCATGATAAGAATTGCTTTAACGACGTTAATGGGGTTACAGCGTAGTGGAAAAGATGAAGGAAGAGCAATATTAAGGTTTTCGATAGATAACTCGAAATATCTTAAAGCTTATTGTCAGACTACAACGATGAATTCTAAAAAGCGTTCAGTCATACAGTTTTAGGAGATAAAGTAAAGGGAAATAATTTTTCGAAGTCCACCTTCTGAATCTTTCTGTGCATAAATTTTATTCAGTAAATTCGTAAATAATAATATGACTATTCATATGTGATCGTTTGTCAATGTGAACCGAGTTTTGCAAAAAAAAAAGCTATCAAAAATAATTTCAGGCTTATATTGATCAGATGAGTTAGCTCAGGCTTGTGCAAGTGCTGTACTCGGTAAAAGCCAAACTACTCATAACACTGACCTTAGCTGTTGCTGCTCTTCGTTTTAGCAGTGTAAGAGGCTTTTTAGAAACTGTAAGCCAATGCTAAGAATTTCTAGATATACGCAATATCTTCCAAAAGTCTCAAAAGTTTTATTGTTCTCGCTTATTGCTTTGGAAGAGTAGAGTACAGTATTTTTTTACACGTGATGCAAGAGCATTGACTCTTAATCCTAGATTAACAAGGGTAAATAAAGAAATGCAGCTCGGCAGTTATGTTAGAAGTATTTGACTATCGAATTTTTGCGTTCCTGTCCAAAAGACTAAAGCAGCGGTTAGAAAGCTTTGTAAAAAGCTGCATAATAGGCGATTCCCAAAAAGAAAGAGGTCTGAACAGTGAGAGAATCATAACTAATAGAGGTTCGAAAGTGCACGAGTATGTACACTTTTTCGAAAACTGCGGCTAAGGAGACACTAATAGAATTATGGGCGGCGAATGAAAAGAAGTGGCTGCACTATCTTCAACAAAAATTTGTTTGTTAGGGCATGAAGAAGAAAAAAATACAATCCAAGCTTAGAAGCACATTTATGGGCGGTAATGGCTGAGAAATTGTTTTTTTTTTTGTTGGAGAAGTGAGTAAGGACCCCTAACTCCTGCAGTATTCTGTACAGAATTTCCATTGTTCTTTGTTTTGTTGTGCTTACTTGTATCCATCTATGATGTGACGACTGGTAATCAAAACGCAGTTCGTTTTGCTGAAGCTGTGCTAACCTCACAAGAACTGCAGTTTCAGGACCTCGTGCTGGAGATTAACCCACTGGCGATCGCGCGACCCACCCGTGGGTCACAATTTTGGGATGAGACTGTGTAACCTACGGATGGGTGACACTTTTCTGATCGCTCGTGCCTCTGAATTTTAAACTTTTATAGGTTTTAATACATTTAACAGTAAATTATCTTTATGCAAAAGTAGTGCAATCAGTAGCCAAGGAAAAGGCGGCCAGGTTGGTCCCATGCGAGACACGTAAATAAACGCAATGTCATTGGGTTGAAGTAGCTTAATAAATTTACTTTTTTTTCTGCTATAGCCTATTGACAAATGCTGACAGAAAAGGAGTGTTGATTACACGCAGCAGTTATAAAAAAGCTGTAAGCTGGCAAGAGATTAATAAGCTACAACAAGGGGAAAAAGCATGAGCTAAGACTGCGGAAAATCTTAACTTCTTAAAGGTACTCTACTTCGCTTATACTTGCTGAAGATCTTATATTTTAAGAAATGTCCGGGATTTTATATTGCGGCGACACCAATCTGAATCTAGAACTATCATTTTCCGAACTAGGTCTTGTTTGCCAGCAGACACGGACAGGCCAAAATGGTCCCAACGTCCATCACTGGGACGCCGGCACTCGATCCTCCTGTCAACCCTGGGAGCATCTAAAAGAGACGAATTTTGCATTTACAATGAGTCGCAGCACAGTATCACCGATCGCAGTTCCTAACATCTGCCCCGCTGCATTCGTAGTCAACAATAAATATCCATTGCCGTTTGAACAACCGCCCGGAAACAACGGGCTTCCTTTTCGGCCATTAAGGAAGAGAGGAATAAATTTAGATTCCGGAGGAGAACCGCGGACAGCGAATTACTGCGAACGGGCACGAAGGTGGAGAATGTGGAGAGTGGACGGAAAACAACAGACGATGATCAATCATTGGGTCAGATTAGGTGAAGCCGTAGATAGGCATCTGTGGGGATCACGTTGTTTACTGACTTATAGCACGGATTCTCCTTTTCGAGCAATGCCGCTTAACGAGAGCACGTTATCGTGCTCGCAAGGAAATTACTAAAGTGGATCACAATAGGAATGGAGCGGAGTTTAATGTCCGCTAATAGCTGCTAGCCTCTTGAGTGACTAGTGGCTAGTGAGGATGACCATCACTTACATACAAAGTGCATAGCGAGAGCGCATGACTGAAAGAATATCAAACAGAAAATGGTTTTTTCTAGCTTTGGGCACAAAACTTGCTAACTTTTGTTCACACATACAATTGAAATTCTAGTATTTTTAGGAAAAACATCAAAGATAGGAAGAAATATGTTGTATTTCTAGCTCTGCCAAACACTTGACTAAATCTTCGATTTTTCTAATAAACCAAGGATAGCATATGGTGAAGACCAGATGGCTTTTTGAAAATGAAAGAAGATATCGAAAAGAGACAAACAGGGAGAAAATGCGCATTATCATTTCTCGTAAAGAAATTTAATGAAGTGGACGGATTTATAATAGGGTTTGCGGTGAATGTGCAAGAAGTGCCAATTTCGAAACAATGGCAGTCATGTGGAAATGTAAACTCATCCAGGATGAAGCTTTCCAAAAATTTTGAAGTTTCATGCTTATACTGCAGAATTTAGCTTTCTACTCACCAATATTTACATAGAGTGATAACAGATAATTGATATAGATGAGTAAAGTGAAAACCTAATTTTTCGCATATAACCTAAACGCTGAAATTGACAATTACTCCAAGTTGAGCTCTCTAACATAACTCCTAAAGGAAAGAACAATCAAAGCCGCTTATCCCAGATAATGTGAAGTATAGATATACAATATTCACATAAACCTCGATTGGATTGAGACGAAAAAAGAGAGCTAGAAGTTAGCCGTAGCCAAAAGCGCAACTACTGAGTTTGGGCAGCAGTATTACATATTGCTAGGTATGAAGTGCTCTCTATCTGTTTTGCAATAGATTTTATATTTCCACTGGCCATCTCGGTGTATCATAACTATATTTCAATTATATATTCAAATGGATTTATTAGACCTACAATTCAAAAGGAAATAAAGACATCAGCCAGGAAATCTTGCTTTCGGTGTTGCAAATGTATTCAAAAAGTCATCCCTTTACGACAATTTAGAAAAGATTTAAAACTTCTCAGAAATATTATTTTTCGGTCAAAAATTTCTAAATCCTAAAGGATGGACCTTGACAATGGAGTAATAGCAATAAGCGATAATTTTTCGCGAAAAGTTCGTTTTCTTTTGAGGAAATGAGATACAATATTAATATGCAGCATATGCATTAATTTCCTTCGCAGGGATACACCGCGGCGGCGAAAGTCAAAAGAAAAGTCTTACATGTGCACTGAATCCACGACGATAAATGAGAATGAACGCGCAATCGAAACATGGGTCAAATAACGTGAAGAGGGATTGGGGCCAAATTT